CCTCCTCCAACTCTCTCCCCCAATCTGATATTCAATCTTTTATCACCTAATCTTTTTTTTATCCTCATAACCTTACTCTTTCCGATTCCCTTTAATTTTTTCTTCTTTTTCACACCCTACCAAAATTTACCACCAAACTCTCAACTTCACTTCGAATCTCCCAAGAGCACAGTGTCATCCCGCAAAGAGCAGCGTGACAACCCCACTTTGGGGTGATCTTTACTTTTTAAACCCCGCCTCTTGCCAAGACCCTCGCATTTACTTCCTTACAACCCATCTAAAATAATTAAACAACCCCGGGGGACATCACACATCCTTTTCTAAGCCACTTTTTCTGGAAAAATTTCCCTCTTCCTACATCCTAACTTTAGCCTCACATCCTCGAAAAAAATCTCACTGCTTTCAGTAACCTACCTCCACAAACCCTACACTTCAACACTGCCACATTGCCCCCCTATCCACCCGTCAACGCCTTTTTTCCAAAAACCATAAATGCCACAAAAACCTCTTTTCCATCTAAAACTGTTCACTTATAGGGTTTTCATGTAAACAAACCCGGTCCACACACCCCCTACCTTTTCCTAAAGCCTCCTTTTTCTCTCTATCCTATTTTCCGTCTTACCTTAATTTTCAATTTAACCTACCATACACTTTTTTCCAGGGACACTCAAAAAGACTATCCCCCCCATAATTTTTCACTCCCTTTTTTCCCCTTTTCCTTTATACAAAGGGAAATATGCATCTCTCTGCCAATCCCAGGTCCTTACCCTCTTCCCTCATTTATTAAAAAATTGCACCAACCACCCAAAAAATAATCCCCACCTCTTTTAACATTTTTTATCTTTACCCCAATCCCCGCCTTACCCCCTTTCATTTACCTACTGCCTCACGAACTTCCCCCACACTCACACTGGCTCTCCCCCCCTACAAATTTTTAAATTTCCCCTTCCCCATACACGAAATCAAGCTTTCCCTTCTTCAACAACATTTTAAAAATTCCCAAAAAATTTTCCCTTCCATCCCCAAAACCCCTAACTCTCCATTTAAAAACCCCCCTCCTATTTTTTAACTGACAAATCAAATTTTTTCTCTACTTTTTTAACTTTTTAATCTCACTCCCAAAAATTTTTTCTTAATTTTTTAACAAAAATTTTTGTAAAATTCACCCCTCTCCATTTTCCTCTTTTTACTTTGCTTCCCACTCTCTTAACCCCTCTCTTTTTCTCCTATACTCTTCCCCCCTTGCACACTTTCCCTTTTTTAAAAACCCCCATATCTAACTTTTTTTCTCCCCACTACTCTCTTTACACATCATTCCACCAATCGCTCCCTTCCTCAAACCCCACTTTCCTTTTAAACCCCAAAACTTCTGCGAAAACCAAAAAATAATTTTTAAAAACCACCCCATACCCCTTCGACCCATTTCCTATCTCTCATTACCCATCTACCTCCAATAAATTTTTTCTTTCCCTAACGCCCCCCTTTTAGTTTTAAACCTTCACCTCTCCTTTTTCCCCGATCTTCTATTTTCCTTTATCCCATCTACCTTTTCTCTCTGTAGCTACAACAAAATGATCTATAACTGTGGCCCCTCTATAAACTGTACATCCTAAGTCTACCAACATCTTTTTTTTCTACCAATAAATAAAACCAACAAAATACTGCATTCGCCCCAAAATCATTCGTGTATACTTTTTTTTCCTCTTTTCTTAAATATGATTTCCCATAACAAACCCCTTTCTATACAAATTCAATCAAAGGGGGTTCCATTATCATTAAAACCTGGGACCCCAAACTACCTACCCAACCCTCTCAAAATTTCTCCTACTTTAGCATTTAGTCCCCACCACAAAAACTCCCACTTGGTTTAAAGGGTCCAACATTCATTTAACTCTCCCAAAATCTCCTCTCCCTTTTTCCTTTTCCCCTCTTCCCGGCTACACCTTTTTTATGACCCCTCTCGCATCCAACCTTACTTTTTAAACCACATAATTTTTGAATTTACACTTCATATTCTCTTTTCCCTTCCATAACTGATCATTTAACATACCCCCAAACCCCTTTTCCCTTTCTCTAACCTCCGATACCCAATTAATCCCTTTATTTCCCCCCCTGAAACTCCCTAACCCCCTTTACTTTTTTTCGCACCCGACCCTCCCAACTTTTTTTCATTCAAAATCACAATCATCTGTTTCTTGTCATCCGCCACTACACCACCACATTAAGCAACCCAGTTTTTAAAAGTTTTTCTTCTTCCTTTTTTAGTAAATTTTATACAGGGGAAAGGGGTTTCAAGCCCATTTTCCCCGCATTTTTTTCGCCTCATACCACGCATGGCTTTCGGGGGGAAAGATTCTTTTCCACTTTTCCCCCCGGACAATAGAAAAATAAAAAAAACAAGAGCTATTTTAAAAAAGGGGAAAAACCCAATTATGAATATAATATATCATTCGTTCTGTAAGTGTACCAAAAAAGGGAAGAAGGATAGCAAATATCCCCCGTTATCTTCGTGTTTATGAACAGAAAAAGAAAAACCAGCAATCCTACCCTCAGCAAAACAGTTTCAGGTTTTTTTTCACAGTCATCTCAGACGGGAGTACTTCCTGGTTTTCTTCTACCCAAACCACTACCTATATATAATATATATTTATATATATTTATAAAATATAAAAGGAAAAATTATATATATAAAATTAATATATATATATATACAAGGGAAATTTCCCAAAAGCGCGAAATATACATAAACACGATTCCCCGGGTGAAGAACCGAACCTCGAAAACCTTGGGAAAAAGGGACCAGTGCTATACCAAACTCACCAACGAACCCAAAACCTTGGGGTTCAGCTGCGCAACTTTGACCCAAAGGGATCTCCTTTACCAGAATCTTTTTTGTGTAATTTTTTTTTGCTCTTGCGATTCCTTGCTTTTTAAAATCCATAAGGGTGATGCATTCAGGGGTAAAAAAACTTAAAGCCCCCCTGAAAGCTGTCGCCTTTTATCAAAGCAGCGCAAGCTGGGGCCCTAGTATTGCCATTGGGGAATTTGGGAAACACTGCGTACCTTGTTCAAGGGTTTAGTCCCCTTTACCCCAAAATCAGGTTTTTATTATTGTATTATAGGAAGTGAATTTTTTAAGGGGGGGTAATAACCAATCACAGGGGTCATAAAGTATTTAAAAAAAAGCATTGGGTTTAATTAAATAGGGGCCTCCCCCTCCTCCCCTCCTCCTCCTCCTCCCCCCTCCCCCCTCCCCCCCCTCCTCCCCCCTCCTCCCCTCCCCCTTCCCTTCCCCCCCTCTTCCCCTCTCCTTCCCCCTTCTCCCCCTTCCTCCTCCCCTTTTCCTCGACGTGTAAACTGGCTCAGCAATTAACGTAGATCAGGACAAGCAGCACACAATAAACTGGTCATTATCCATGATAAACTGTAAAATTGATTACAAAAAAAATATTACTACAGCACTTTTTTTTTTATTCTTAATTATTTTGTTTTTTAACTTTTCTGTCTCTGTCTTCTGTCTCTGTCTTTTCTTCCCTGCCTTCGTCTTCTGTCTCTGTCTTTTTCCTTTTTCCCTGTTTTGCTTCTTCGTCTTCTTCTTTCTTCCTCTGCTTCTTTTTCCTTTTTTTTCCTTCTGTCTTTTGTTTTTTCTTCTGTCCTTCTTCTTTTCTGTCCCCTGTCTTCTTTTTCTGTCTTCTTCTTCTGTCTTCTGTCCTCTTCCTCTTCCTTTGTCCTTTTGTCTTCTTCTTCTGTTTTTTCTGTCTTCTTTTTCCTTTCTGTCTTCTGTCTCTGTCTCTTCTTCTTTTCTGTCCCTGTCCTTTTGTCTTGCTGTTTCTTCTTCTTCTTTTGTCCTCTTCCTCTGTTTTTCTGCTTTTTTCCCCTTTTGTCTTGTCCCTCTTTTCTTCTTTGTCTTCTTCCCGTCTTCTGTCTTCTTCTTTTGTCCCTTTCTCTGTCTTCTGTCTTCTGTTTCTGTCCTCTGTCTTTTTGTCTTCTGTCTTCGTCTTTTTCTTCGTCCCCTTCTTTTGTCTCTGTCCTCTGTCTTCTTCTCTGTCCTTCCTTTCTTCTTCTGTCCTGTCTTTTGTTCTGTCTTTGTCTTCTGCTTCTTCTTTTGTCCCTTTTGTCCTCTGTCTTCGTCTTCTGTCTTCTGGTCTTTTGTCTTCTGCCTCTGTCTTTCTGTCTTTTGTCTTCTGTCTTTTGTCTTTTGCCTTCTTTTCTTCCCCCTGTCTTTTGTCCTTTTCGTCTTCTTCCCTTTTTTTTGTCTCTGTCTTCTGTCTTTTGTCCTCTGTTTTTTCCTTTTGTCTTCTTCCCCGTCCTCTTCTTTTGTCTTTTGTCTTCGCCCTTCCCCGTCTTTTCCCCGCTTCTGTCTTTTTCCTCGTCTTCTGTTTTTGTTTCGTCTTCTTTCCCCTGCTTTTGTCTTTTGTCTTCTTCTTTTTCTTCGTCCTTTTTTTTTCTTTCTTTTTTTTTTTTGGCCCTTCTGTCCCCTTTTTCTTTGTTCCCCCCCCTTCCCTTCTCCTCGTCTTCCTCTCCGTCCCCGTCTTTTCCCGCCCTTCTTCTCCCTTTGTCTTTTTTTTCGCCTTTTTTTTTTGCCCCACCTTTTTCCCTTCCCTTTCCTTCCTTGCCCTTCCTTTCCCCTCCTTTTCCCCCCCCTTTCCCCCCCCTTCGTTTAAACCCGCCTGTAAATTTTTCCCTCCTTTCGTTTTCCCTTTTCCTGGGTTCCGGGCCCTTCACCCTTTTTTTTTTTCGGGGGGGCCCCCGCCCCCGCGGGGTTTCCGGTCCCGCCCCCTTTTTTTTTCCCCCCTTCCTTCCCGTCGGCCCGGGGGGGTTTTTTTCCCCCCTGTTCCCCGCTGGGTTTTTTGTCGTCCCCCTTTTTTTGTTTTCTTGTTTCTTTTGGCCCCGTTTCGCCCTTTTCTGCCTTTTTTTGTTTTTTTTTAAATTTTTTTAAAATTTTTTATTTTAAAACCCTAAAATTTCCCCTTTTAAATAAACGTGTGTTACCGTTGCAGGAGGAACAGATGCGGGTGGATGCCGAGGAACCCATGTCACCCATGTCACCCATGTCTCAGGGCTCAGACCACGACCATGAGAAACCCACCATAAGACAGGTAGGTTAAAAAAACCATGATGCTCATGTCTTAGGGTCCACCCCACCATTACCATACACCCGTCGTAAGACAGGTGGGTTTATAAACCCATGTTGCCCGTGTCTCAGGGTTAACATTGTCGTACCACACTCATATAAATTTCAACGTTTTCATGGATGTTACTTTTGGCTGCCGCGTTGCCAGGCGATTCTTGACCTTTTGTTGTGTTTTTATTCTGGTTAAATGTATTCCAGGGGCGTTGATCCCCGGAATACCTAGAAGGTATTCCGGGGATCAACGCCCCCGCGGCCCGGTCCATGACCAGGCCTCCCGGTGGATCAGGGCCTGATCAACGAGGCTGTTACTGCTGGCCGCACGCAATTCAGCATACGAACCACAGCCCGGCTGATCCGGCACCGACTTTAGGTAGTTCCCTCTTGAAGACAACCAGGGATCTACTGGTAATGCTCCTTATGGCTGGTGGGAGGCTGTTGAACAGTCTTTGGCCCCGGACACTTATTGCGTTTTCTCTTAGTGTACCAGTGACGCCCATATATATATATATATAATATATAATATATATATATATATATAATATATATAAATATATATAATATATATATATATATATAAATATATATGCGATCCTAGAGGGTCTCTGCTCTTTTTACAAGGTATATATTGTAACTTATGTGTTCTGTTGTTAGGTGTCGGGTTGTATAGCATTGCTACTAATATTACTGTGTGTGTGTATGTGTGTGTGTGTGTGTGTGTGTGTGTGTGTGTGTGTGTGTGTGTGTGTGGTGTATGTGTGTGTGTGTGCCGTACGTCTCCTCTTCAACTACCCTTTCTACACCTTACCTTGCCTCTTACAACACCCCTTCCAGCATCCTCTGTAGACAACACTCTACACCCCCCCCTCTATCTACATTCATCCACCCCTTGTGTATCCTCTTCCCTCTCCCTCAACTCCCTCACCCCTCCCAGACCTTCCCATCCCCCATCTTCTACACCTAACTCCAGTATCATGTTAATGGTAAACGTTCATTACCACACCAATTTTCTCAGCTAATTGACCGTGTAGGAATGTAATTTAGCTTTCTAATTGAAAGCATTGTTGCACAGCTCTCCCTCCCTTCTAATTGCCTCTCCCTCTCCTTCCTTCCTGTCCACCCCCTACCTCCTTCTCCTCTTATCCTCCTCCTCCTCTTCTCCATCTAGTGTATTATCCCCTTTCTCTCCCTCATTTTCCCATTTTGTATAATTTCTGCCGTAGCTCGATTGCTAGCACATTCAGCTCACACACTGAGGTCCGGAGATCGAATCTCCGGTACGACTGGAAAACATTAGGACGTGTTTCCTTAAGACACCTGCTGTCCCTGTTCATCCATCAGTATAAAATAGGTACCTGGGTGTTAGTCGACTGGTGTGGGTCACATCCTGGACAAAACTGACCTAATTTGCCCGAAACGTTCAACATAACAAGCGGCTTTCTATATAGTAGTATGTCATTGATGTCAGCTATGGTCTGTATACCTTGTACATGTACTGGTAGAAATAAAGATATTTTATATTATTATTATTAATATTATTATTATTATTATTATTATTATTATTATTATTATTATTATTATTATTATGATATGCAAGTTCACCCTGATCCCCCCTTTACTTAAGAGGCAGCAGGTAGTGTATCAGTTGTAGACATTCCACATTCCACATCAGTGGTGAGAATCATTCTCCAATAGTGGCGAGGATCATTCTACACCAGTCGTGAGGATCATTCCACATCACGCTGTGACTGACAGTACTGAATAACCTTGACGAGGTGGTAAGGTCTGAGAGGTTTGTGTCTAGGGGCAAGACTTCCCACAGTACCACTTTCCCCACAGTGTCAATCTACCCACAGGGTGCCACTCTCCTCACAGTGCCACTCTCCCCACAGTGTGCTGGCGTGATATAAAAACCAGCATCTCCTTCGGCATAAACGGTCTGAAATATTTACCCTATTGTCGAAATGTGTTGACACTTATGTTAGCCGAGAAATGATAATGATTGTGTATTGTGAGATAAAGATTGTGTATTGTGAAGTAGAGATTATGGATTGTGAAATAAGGATTGTGAATTGTGAAACAGGGATTGTGAATTGCAAAATAAGGATTGTGGATTGTGTAATAGGGATCGTGGATTGTAAAATAAGGATTGTGGGTTGTGAAATAGGTATTGTTGATTGTAAAATAAAAAACTGTGGATTGGGAAATAGGGATTGTGGATTGTGAAACAAGCATTTGGGTTTTAATGGGACTGTGGAAAAGTGAAATAATGGGTTTTTTGGGCTGTGAAATAAGGATTGGAAAAAAGATTTTAACAACAATAACAGCACAGTAAACAACAACAACAATGCATAGCAACAACAACAGCACAGTATCAAAAACAACAAGTAACAACAACACCCAAAACACAGAAACAACAATACGGAAGCAACAAAACAACAACAACAACACAGACAAAAACAACACAGGGGCAACAACAGCACAGACAAAAACAGCACAGTTTTCAACAACAACAACAACACAACACGTGGGAACAACAACACAGTACAACAACAACAACACAGTGGGAACAACAGCACAGAGCAACAACAACAACACAGTGCAACAAAAAGCACAAAGCAACAACAAAAAACATGGCAACAACAAAAAACAAACCCGTGGCAACAAAAACAACACAGTAGCAACAAACGCACATAGCAACAACAACAACACAGTGGCAACAAAACAACACAGCAGCAACAACAACACAGTGGGCAACAACACAAGAGCAACAAAACACAGTACCAACAACAAAAACAACAAAAAGTAGCACAACACACAGTAGCAACAACAACAACACAGTGGCAAAAACAACAACAACAACACATGGCAACCAAAAAACCAGTAACAACAACAACAAACAGTGGGAACAACACACAGTACAACAACAGCAACCAGTTAAAAAACAACAACAAAACAGACAACAAAACAACAACAACACAGTAGCAACAACAACACGTAGCAACAACACAACAATGGCACAACACACATACAACAACAACAAAACAGTACAACAACAACAACACGGGCAACAACAACAACACGTACAACAACAACACACATAGCAACAAAACAACACGTAACAACAAAACAACACAGTGGCAACAACAACAACACATGGGAACAACAACAACACGTAGCAACAAAAACAACACAGTGGCAACAACAAAACATACAACAACAACAGCACAGTGGGAACAACAACAAAACATGGCAAAACAACACGAAAAAACAACAACAACCATGGCAAAAAACAAAACAGTGGGAACAACAACAACACAGTGGGAACAACAACACACAGTACAACAAAAAACAACACAGTGGCAACAACAAAAACCAAGTGGCAACAAAAACAAAACAGTACAACAACAACAACCAGTAGCCAACAACCACAGGGCAACAAAAACAACACATGGGAACAACAACACATACAACAACAACAAAAAACAGTGGCAACAAAAACAACAAGTGGCAACAACAAAAACACAGTGGCAAACCCAAAAAAACACAATAGCAACAACAACAACACAGGGCAACAACAACACAGAAAAACAACAACAGCACAGTGCAACAACAACAGCCAATACAACAAAAACAGCACAGTAGCAACAACAAAAACACAGTGGCAAAAACAAACACAGTGGCAACAACAACAACACAGACAACAAAAACAACACAGTGCAACAACAACAACACAGTACAACAACAACAACACAGTGGCAACAACAACCAGTAGCAACAAAAACAACCATAGCAAAAACAACAACAACATACAACAACAACACACAGTAGCAACAACAACAGACAGTACAAAACAACAACACAGTGGCAACAACAACACGTAGCAACAACAACACACAGTACAACAACAACAGCACAGACAACAAAAACAACACAGAGCAAAAACAACGCACAGACAACAACAACAAAACAGGGGGGCCCAAAAAACAACACAGTAGCAACAACAACAAAACCCGTGCAACAAACAACACAGGGCAACAACACACAGTACAAAAACAACAACACAGGGGCAACAAAAACAACACAGTACAACAACAGCACAGTACAACAACAACCAAAACAGTGGCAACAACACACAGTAGCAACAAACAACAACACATAGCAACACAACCAGTACAACAACAACAACACAGTACAACAACAACAACACAGTACAAAACAAAAACACAGTGGAACAACAACAACAAGTACAACAACAACAACACAGTACAACAACAACAAACAGTGGCAACAACAAAAACAAACAGAAACAACAACAACAACACAGAAACAAAACAACAACACAGGGGCAACAACAACACAGTGCAACAACAACAGCACAGTGGCAACAAAAACAACACAGTGCAACAACAACACAGTACAAAAACAACACACAGTACAACAACAAAAAGCACAGGGCAACAACAACAACACAGTAGCAACAACAAAAAACAGTACAACAACAACAACACAGGGCAACAAAAAAACACAGTAGCAACAACAACACACATAGCAACAACAACACACAACAACAAAAACAAAACGTGGGAACAACAGCACAGTAGCAACAACAACACCGTGGGAACAACAAAAACACAGTGGCAACAACAACAAACATACAAAACAACAGACGTAGCAACAACAACAACACAGTGGGAACAAAAACAACACATGCAACAACAACACAGTGGGAACAACAGCACGTAGCAACAACACACAGGCAACAACAACAACAACAACACGTACAACAAAACACAGTAGCAACAAAACAACACGTGGCAAAAACAACAAAAACAACAAGTCAAAAACAACACGTAGCAACAACAACAACACAGTGGCAACAACAGCACAGAGCAACAAAAACAACACAGTACAACAACAACAACACAGTACAACAAAAACAACAAAAACACAGTACAACAACAACACTAGCAACAACGCAAC